GTAAAGGCTGAGCCTCCAAAAGGAAATGTACATGCGTATTGGGTTTTTTCCCCTTGTCAGGAGGGACTTAAGAAACTGCAAGTTGGTTCTGGTGTGAGAGAATTGGCTGTCTGCAAAAACGTTGTCCAGGGGACACCTGGATTTTTTTTGATGTTTTACCATCCTTGTGGAAGGCTTTTCTCATGCCCCTGCATGGGGAGCTGGAGCTGACCCGCTGACCTCGGTCAGCAGTCCTGCCAGCACAAGGGTTTAACCCATTGTGGAGGGAAAGAGAGTGAAAGTGAGAGGTGGGTGTGACAGGCGAGAACATCCTCTCTGAATAGCCAGCCCTCCTGGCAAGAAAGGGACTTGGAGAAGACCCCCTCCCTCCTGGCCCACCTACCCCACTCCTGCCCGCCATGCTGCCCCAAGTTAGAAAGTTTGCCTATGCCCATGGTATGCTAATATTGTATATACATATAATATTGATAATGTTATAATATAATGCAATATAATATAGAAAAGTCTCGCTTATCCAACATAAATGGGCTGGCAGGACGCTGGATAAGCGAAAATGCTGGATATTTAGGAAAAGTCTATTAAATGTCAAATTACATTATGATTTTAGAAATAAAGCACCAATATAATGATCACACTGTTTTATCATTTTCAGATATCATATTGCCGAGTATGCCTGCCCATGCAAAGCAGGTGAACATAGCATTGAATGAAACAATGAAACATGCAGAATAATCACAGGATGTCTTAAACCTACACCTGTTGATAAATTCTACAAGCTAGCTGGCATTGCCCCCCTCCCCCAATGTGCGACGGGAAGTTGCTGCTAAATGTGAGAGAAATAAGGTTGAACACTGAAAGCCACCCACTACATGGCTACCAGCCTCCTCCCAGTAGACTCAAATCAAGGGAAAGCTTTATGAGAACTACCACTCCTCTTGGTATCCTCCCAGCAACAGCAAGGGTAACCCTCTGGGCAGCTAGACCAGGAAATCCCAACTGGATGACCCCCCACGAGGGTCTTCCTCCAGGGGCAAACCAAGAATGGGCAACTTGGAAGTCCCTGAACAGACTCCGAAGTGGAGTGGGCAGATCAAGAGACAACCTGGCAAAATGGCACTACCTAAAAGAACCCCACACCTTATGTGACTGTGGAGCAGAACAGACAACTCCGCATCTGTATGCTTGTCCACTATGCCCTGCCTCATGTACAGAGGAAGAATTGTACAGAGGCTACAGACAATGCCATTGCTCTTGCCTGTTTTTGGTCAAAAGATATTTAGCCACCAGTGCTCCTTCCATTTTTATCGATTTTATACTAATTTATGCAATGCTTTTGATACGAAATAAATAATTTTAAAACATTCATTTGTTTCAGTCGGTGATCTATTTCTATCCCTTTACTTGTTTGTTTTGAGGAATTTAGGTTCACTGGGCACATTCAGTTTATCATTTTCTTTAAACATCGCTTGTTTAAACTGTGAAATAGCTTTAAAATATCTGATACTCTACATCTTCACTTACTACAACCTGGTGCATGAAATACTCCCACATCGCAACGATTACTTATGTAGATTTCTAAACAGATGTCTGCTGCATCTTAAATTGTACTTTTTTTCCTTAGTCCCAAGAAGTATTCATCGTCATATGAATATTTCTGAATTTTCCAGTTATATCCCACTTTGCTGGCCTATTACCATTATAAGATCATGTGAATACAAGTAACATATATAGTCATATATGTCCACTATGCCCTGCCTCATGTACAGAGGCCATTGCTCTTGCCTGTTTTCGGTCAAAAGATATTTAGCCACCTGCGCTCCTTCTATTTTTATCGGTTTTATACTAAATTATGCAATGCTTTCGATACAAAATAAATAAATAAATACTGTTTTAATGTTGTATATTTTAAGTTGTCATGAGTTGGATTGTGGGCCGCTTTAGTCTCCGTAGGAAGAGATAATTAAATGTTTTCCCTTGACATTAAGTCTGGGGGGTTGGTGCTCATCTCCATTTATTTATTTATTTACAGTATTTATATTCCGCCCTTCTCACCCCGCAGGGGACTCAGGGCGGATTACAGTGTACACATATATGGCAAACATTCAATGCCAATTTTGACATACAACATATACAGACATAGACAGAGGCTATTTAACTTTTTCTGGCTACAAGGGAAGCTGTCGCTTTCATTGTCCATCTGTGACACTGATGAAGTACTTCCGCATTCCCCGCATGCTTTTTGCTGGAGTGCTTGCTGGAGTCTTTTTTTATGGCCTCATAAATTAGTTAATTTAGCCTCCCCACACTTTAAGGTGGTACTTAATTTTCCTACTTGACAGATGCAACTGTCTTTCAGGTTGCAAAGGTCAACAACAGGCTACACAATTGGTTGGAAACCCACTCCAACCCGGGCTGGCTTTGAACTCATGACCTTTTGGTCAGAGTGATCTTAATGCAGTTGCACCACAATCCCGGTGCACTTGTAAGCCAAAGAGCTGGCATTGTCCGTAGACACCTAGGTCATGTGGCCAGCATGACTGAATGAAGCGCCATTACCTTCCCACAGAAGCTGTACCTATTGCAAATCTACTCACATTTGCATGTTTTCGAACTGCTAGGTCGGCAGAAGCTGGGGCTAACAGCAGGAGCTCACCCCACTTTCCAGATTTGAACTGCCCACCTTTCAGCCAGCAAGTTCAGCAGCTAAAATAAATATAAATAGGTACAGCTTCCCACAGAAGCTGTACCTATTGATCTACTCAAATTTGCATGCTTTCGAACTGCTAGGTCGGCAGAAGCTGGGGCTAACAGCAGGAGCTCACCCCACTTTCCAGATTTGAACTGCCCACCTTTCAGTCAGCAAGTTCAGCAGCTAAAATAAATATAAATAGGTACAGCTTCCCACAGAAGCTGTACCTATTGATCTACTCAAATTTGCATGCTTTCGAACTGCTAGGTCGGCAGAAGCTGGGGCTAACAGCAGGAGCTCACCCCACTTTCCAGATTTGAACTGCCGACCTTTCAGTCAGCAAGTTCAGCAGCTAAAATAAATATAAATAGGTACAGCTTCCCACAGAAGCTGTACCTATTGATCTACTCAAATTTGCATGCTTTCGAACTGCTAAGTTGGCAGAAGCTGGAGCTAACAGCAGGAGCTCACCCCACTCCCTGGATTTGAACTGCCGACCTTTCAGTCAGCAAGTTCAGCAGCTCAGAGGTTTAACCCGCTGCAGGATAGGAATAAAATAAATATAAATAAACGTAGTCCTTTGTAGAGACTTCTGAGGACTGAAGAACAGCAGATACTTTTCAGGTTTACCATCCAGAAACCGATTCAATCCATCTGCTCGACTGAGGCCTGGTGCTCAAAAGTACCGTTCTTGGTCCACGAGAAAAAGGGGACGAACCGGAACCGGTCCCTGTCGCCTCCTCAGCATTTCCTCTATATTTTTACATATAGTTATGCATCGCTTCATCCTTTTTTTTTTTACCTCAGCCTCAGCACCGAAACTCGCTCCTTCCTCCTTCGTCCCAACCCGGGCGTCGAAACCCTGCTCTCTCCCCCTCCTTCCCTCCCTCCTCTCCCAATCACCTTGCTGCGCATGCGCGGTAGGGAAGCCGGCCGCTTCGAGCCAATCAGCAGCTGCCTGGGGATTCAGTTCGTAAGTAAACGGAAGGAGCGCGAGGGGAGGCCTCGAGCCCAAAAGGAGGGGGCGTGGCCGTTAAAGGCAGTGGGCGGGGCCGCAGGGGCTGACGTCACTAACGGTTTTTGGAGGGACTTTCTTGCCATCCTTTCAAAGTTCAAATCCAACACCTGGCATGGGCCAACTTGGGCCCTCCCTCTCTCCAGATAGAATCAAAGAGTTGGAAGAGACCTCATGGGCCATTCAGTCCAACCCCATTCTGCCAAGAAGCAGGAATATTGCATTCAAATCACTCCCTGACAGATGGCCGTCCAGCCTCTGTTTAAAAGCCTCCAAAGAAGGAGCCTCCACCACACTCCGGGGCAGAGAGTTCCACTGCTGAACGGCTCTCACAGTCAGGAAGTTCTTCCTAATGTTCAGATGGAATCTCCTCTCTTGTAGTTTGAAGCCATTGTTCCGCGTCCTAGTCTCCAAGGAAGCAGAAAACAAGTTTGCTCCCTCCTCCCTGTGGCTTCCTCTCACATATTTATACATGGCTATCATATCTCCTCTCAGCCTTCTCTTCTTCAGGCTAAACATGCCCAGCTCCTTAAGCCACTCCTCATAGGGCTTGTCTCCAGACCCTTGGACTTCGACTCCCAAAATTCCTAACACTATATAATCCAACTTCATTTGCATTTCCTACAGATACATATTCACACAGCAAAGCTAATGCTTACCTATTTCGGCCCTTACCAAGAACCAGACTGACTCATTGTGAAGAGGACCTTTCCTGAAGCTACAACCAGTGGAAGTGTGAGAGAGAAACTGTGGCAGTGACTGATGTCACAATGGACGCAACATCACGGCTTAGTATGACATAAGACAATAGAAGAGCTCAGTGCTGATCCTTTTTTTTTGGTTTGGAAACATACAAAATAGAGATGGATCCTGCTGTTGTTTCAAAGGCCACACAACTCATGGAAAATGTTTTGAAGCTGGGATTTTATCCATTCACTAGCCATCCCCTGCCACGTGTTGCTGTGGCCCACATGGGGGTTCTGTGTGGGAGGTTGGCCCAATTCTATCGTTGGTGGGATTCAGAATGCTCTGTGATTGTAGGTGAACTGTAAATCCCAGCAACTACAACTCCCAAATGTCAAGATTCTATTTTCCCCAAACTCCACCAGTGTTCACATTTGGGCATATTGAGTATTTGTGCCAAGTTTGGTCCAGATCCATCATTGTTTGACTCCACAGTGTTCTCTGATGTAGGTGAACTACAACTCGCATACTCAAGGTCAATGTCCACCAAACACTTCCAGTATTTTCTGTTGGTCATGGGAGTTCTGTGTGCCAAGTTTGGTTCAATTCCATCGTTGATGGAGTTCAGAATGCTCTTTGATTGTAGGTGAACTATAAATCCCAGCAACTACAACTCCCAAATGACAAAATCAAATTTTTTTGAGTGAAGGACATACATTGGGTTGTTGGGTGTCTTGTGTCCAAATTTGGTGTCAATTCGTCCAGTGGTTTTTGAGTTCTGTTAATCCCACAAACGAACATTACATTTTTATTTATATAGATATTCACACAACAAAGCTAATGCTTACCTACTTTGGCCCTTACCAAGAACCAGACTGACTCATTGTGAAGAGGATCTTTCCTGAAGCTACAACCAGTAGAACTGGTGGAAGTGAGAATTTGAGCTTTTTACAGAGGCTGAATGAATGGCCATCTGTTGGGAATGCTTTGATTGTGTATTTATTTATTTATTTCGGGTATTTGTACCCCATCCTTCTCAACCCCGGGGGGAGAGGGGGACTCAGGGCAGCTTCTAGCTAGCACATATTCGATGCCAACAAGCAACACAACAGAACACACATCAAAACAATAATTATAAATAGTTAAAAACATTAGATTAATACAATAAAGTCTACTAAAAAGCAAGTCAGTCTGGTGGCCATTGTTCCGTCAAGTCCTGTAATTGAAAACTTGTCCATAAACCGTTTCCATAGCTGTTGTCGTCATTGTTGTCATCAGGTCTGCAAGCTTACCCAAAGGCCTGACCCCACAACCACATTTTTAATTTCCTTCTAAAGGAGAAGAGGGATGAAGATGAAGTGCCTCTGGTGTTGCTGTGAGAAGGTCCTCCATTGTACAAGTGGCAGGGCTTAGGTTGCATTGTAGTAAGTGTTCTGTGGTTTGCTCTTCTCCACGCTCACATCTCATGGACTCCAGTTTGTAACCCCATTTCTTAAAGTTGGCTCTGCATCTCGTGGTGCCAGAGAGCGGCCTGTTCAGCACCTTCCAGATCGCCCATTCTTCTGTGTGCCCAGGGGGAGTCTCTCCTCTGTTATCAGCCACTCTCGATGGCACAGTGGGTTCAACTCTTGTGCCAACAGGACTGCTGACCAAGAGGTCAGCAGTTAGAATCTGGGGAAAGTGGGTTGAGCTCCCTCTGTTAGCTCCAGCTCCCTATGCAGGGACATTATGGTAAAAGAAAACATCTGGGCATCCCGTGCAACATCCTTGCATACAGCCAATTCTCTCACACCAGAAGCGACTTGCAGTTTCTCAAGTTGCTCCTGACACGAAAAATACAAAAGCCACTGGGGGACATGATGGAAACCTCCTTGCAGGATTACACATCCAGGTGTCCCCTGGGCAACATCTTTGTAGACGGCTGATTCTCTCATACCAGAAGTGACTTGCAGTATGTATCCAAATAAACATCAAACCACAGTGAACCATTATGACCAAAAAGGAGAACTGCAGCTTATTGAAAACTGATTAACCACACTTTACTAACCACAATTTGAAATTGGTTTGGATTTAAGACTAACATTAATCCACAATTCTTCATTTCACACTTGCATTTGTTTGCAACAGAAAATCATTAAATGTTGTTAAATTAAACTAGGACACTATGAAATAGAGGAGGTACAAGATTCCTGATTCGTTCCTGACTGCTGAATTAGTTTAACAAGAGGGAAACTGACTGAGCAAACTAGGTCAGTATCATATACTCATCATTTTCACTCCTTTCTCTTTAAGTGGCTGTAGCAATTTTCTGATGAATCCTAAGCAAACAAGTCTGAACAGAACGTGCATCAACTGTTCCAAGCACAACCCAGAGCACCCCCTCTCCTGGATGCTTAAGGAAAAAGCATCTCAACAAGACCAGTAATTACATTGTGGGTCATTTATTGATGGACAATGTGACCACCATCTGTTTCACAGACAATCCTCGAGTCTTTATCAGTGAATGGCCTCATGTATATTTTCTCTATGGACATCAGTATTTATAATTTACTGATTGAGGATGAATGCAAAACTCAAACATACTAAGAGATGTCTCCTAAAGTAACACTGAAAAAACAAACAATGATATAAATTTGTCAATGTGTCATAAATAATGATATACTTATCTTTCCAGAATACATAAACATCTGCTTATCCTGATAAAATTAAATTTAGGTTTTACAGCCTGTCATGTAAACATCTGGGATATGTCTGGAATTGTGTCTGGAAAGTTAAAAACTTCCTTCATGCAGCTGTATGGATATTCTCAAAATATCCCCCCCCCCTTTTAAAAATTCTTTTATTTCTGTCTCAACAGTTTTTCTTTGCTGTTAGCCCATGAGAAAAGTTGCTGAAGTTTGGTTATTTATTTACAGTGAAAGGAGTATTCTTCAGCATAGTTACATGATTTTTTCAAGGTTTCCTTTCTTCCATGCCTTGTTTTTTTTTGTCAGTCTTGTCTGCATACCATATGGTCAAGCCATATTCCATGTTATCATCACAACAATCCTTAATAGGAGTGACTTATTAACTTGAGAACAATGAGGTGAAATAGATATAAACATGTCTCCAACTTTCTACACATTATATTACACTTGACCCAACCCATGCTATTTTCTCCAGCATATTAATGTCATTTTACAACTGCAAAATAATGTTTCCCACTTTTTTGATTGACTAACACCCATCTTGTTTTATAATCCATTGCAATCAATCTACTTGAGTATTAATCAAATGTATTTTCATTAATGTTAACAGGATTAAAATATGAAACCAAATCAATGATGGATCAAATGGTATGTAACCAAGTTCACTTCTGTGGGAAAAATAATACACATCATTCCGATTTTGATGCCTTTATTAATATTTATTTCTTTATTTAGAACACTTGTATCCCGTCCTATTCTCGACCTCCGAAGAGAGACTCAGGGCAGATTCCAACAATATAAAAACACCAATAAATACACAATTAAATAAAAAAGATAATAAATATACATTAATATGATTTTTAGCAGCATTTTCATATAATATCCATCTTAGACATGATTGTGAAGTCACAATCAACTATAGCCTTTGGAGCTATTGATTTAATATATATTTTTACTATCATCTTAGACATTTATTTCTGTTTGAGCCCACTATCATCAACTGCATAAGGTTCAGCTCTGCTCTGGCCTTTATAAATTTATAGTCCTGTTATGTCTGGAGCACACATTTCTGATCTCATCTCATACATCCTGTGCGTTAGCTTTCTGATATAAATTCACTCATTCATGGAAATTGCAACTTGTGTGTATTTTACCCAACACCTTCCAGTCTGATCAGGCAGATTCTGCACTGGCAGCTACTAGACCCAAGAGAATAAGGCCCCTTCTATACTGTCATATAATCCAGATTATCAAAGCAGATAATCCACACGATCTGCTTTGAATTGGATTATATGAGTTTACACTGCCATATAATCCAGGTCAAAGCAGATAAATCTGGATTTGATATGGCAGTGTAGAAGGGGCCTAAGAGACTTGACAGATGTCAATGGACCCAAATTGACTGACCTTCTTCAGACTTCCTTATGTAGAAAATGAAGGTAAAACTATTCATTCAAGTAGCTAATAAATTATTACATCACTTTTAT